CCTCTTTAAAGTAGAATCCCTTTTTATGTATCCATGTAGGTTTTGAGTTGGAGGGTCAGATGTTTTGACATGCCTAAAGACTGTTCTGATCATGATACAAAATGGCCTGAATTATGAACTCATCAACCTATTCTTAAAGGTCATTATTTATATATATGCAAGAGGAATTCCTACTGTGTTATTTTAGTATTTACAGTTTCCGTTTGCTTTGTTCCGTATGGCCACGGCCTGCCCTTAAAAGGGTCACTCCCCCTGCTGTATTAGACCTGGTCAATTTGTTGACAGGTGAGTTTGTCCCGAAGATAAGCTGTCATCAGCTGTAATAAATGTTTTGTTAATGTTTATCAAAGAGTATAGATGACACTGCAAATGAGTGTACTGAGCAATGTTAGTTGGAGAGGCCATCAGGTTGGTTGACCCGAGCATTGCCCTCTACACCAGTTGGTTAATAGTTAGCAACAGCCATGTTGCATGTTGCCGGGATACTTCAGCGCATCAAATACCAGTAGCCACACACTTAATGAGGACAGCTTCGTTCTTTGCACAGTGTCCTTTTCTAGGACACGAACCCCAAACCACACAACATCCTCAGCTGTTAGCTCATGTAAAAGTCTCTGTGCTACAAGCTTCACATATCATTTTAATTATTTCCCATGTTTGGAAGTGCCCAGCAGCAGTAGGCATGACCCCTGGTCTGTTGTAATTGTACTTTTGCCTATTTAACACATGTGGGTGCCCATTTACTTTCCTTATCTGATGCACTGGCCTATTCCAAAGTGCTTACTGTCAAATGTCTGCTTTCCTACCTATTTAAAGCTAATCCTCAGGAAGTTTTACCTTAAGCTTGTATAACAGTAGTTGAACTTCTTTTGACTACCGGTGAATAAAGGTTACTTTCTGTAGCTGTCTCTCCGTGCAGGAATTGGTAGGAGGCCACTGTAGACATGGTAGACAAGTTAACATAAATAGTGCTTCATTTCTAACTTATCTAAGATATGCTGGACATGTAGTTCTTTTCCTTTACATTACGATTGATATCATTCACAAGATGGCTTTGTGTTTTTAAGCATGTTATTGGCAGTTAGGTTGCAGATACCAGTCAAATAAAACACAGCCTATTTGTGACAACAGTGAGTTGCAGAGCTTTAAGATCATAAAATATGACATACCGTACGGTATAACTCTGTCCCTCAACCCAAAACTGTGGCTTTTCTAAGTTTGCCCTAAATACCATACACTGTCTCACTATAATCTGTAGAAAATGAAAGGTCAAGTAAGACACTATGTGTCAGATGCACTAGATGTTGGATAATAAGCTTATTTTCAAGCTTGAACAGTTGACCTATATTTTTCAGAATCAAATTTTCTACTGTCTTTAGTTCACATTGTAGCAAGGTGTTGATTGCCATTATTTTCAAGGACAAGGTGCAAAAAAAGTTAATGTAGCTATGGTTTAGTTATATGTTTGTATTTTCGTTGTCCTAGTGTTTGGCACTGTCAGCAAAAACTAGATAAAAGTAGTCTTGATTTAATTGTGCTAGGTGGGGGGTGCCAAAAATGGTTGTGCACTTGTGTGGCTGGTTTTAGAACTTTCAAACAAAATGATATCTTTTTGGTATAAAGTTCTACATTGTGTAAGTGATTGCAGTGATATCTTATATGTTATAATTTATAACATTTTTCATTCAACCTTTATGAATACTTTATGGACTTTTTCTTTGTAAATGTAGATGAAAACTAGACAAATGTTGAAATGAAGTTTACTGCTAACCAAATGGAAGACCATCCATCCAAATTAAATATTTTCTAAATTTTGTTATCATAGGACCCATCCCAGTCCAATGTAGAGGTACTTAATACCAGGTGCCGCTGTTTACACAAGGATTTGCAAACAGGATAAGACAAATATTTTTTCGGTATTCCACTTGTTCTTACTGCTGAAGAAGAGATTATTGACTCTAGAATAGATACATTCATTTGTATAGATAAAAGATAATAGTATTTTCTGAATAGCATGTAGAAAAACAAGACATACATGCTAGAGTCTTTTTCTACCTCTAATAAAGCAGCATGTTACCAAAGTTTTGTTTGTCTTACCCGAGGTTATGAGATATCTCATTGACTTAAACAAAAGCTTGTCAGATCTGCTGTCTGTTTCTAGTATATCCCTAGGCTATAAGACATGAGAGCACAGACAAACTGTCACAAATGATAGATGTCTGGTCTCCTGGGCTACTTGGTCCATTTGCCATCTGGTTGACAATGTTATCAAATTAGTTTGATAGTTTTTATATTAGTTTATTCCATTGGCATTTTCCATTAGGCTGATGCAGAAGAAAGTCCTGAAAAAGTGAACAAGGCCATAATTTGTTCTTTTGAATCTCCACACTGACTACTTACGAGCTGAAACAGACTATTAAGTCTCAAATTAGTGTTGATGACTAAGCAATGAATAAATGTACTGGAAAAAACAACATCCTTGTTTATAAGGTAAACAATAGCATTCATTTGGCAACATCTTGTTGTGGTAATGGATGCTTATTCCTAGGTTCACAGTTAGGTGTGACAAAAAGAAAAACAGGTGGATCAAATATCTATTTGTAGTTTTTTTCTTTTGGTCTTCAAC